CGCACTTCCTGCTGTAGTGGTTTTATATGAATGTGTAGGGGTCAAAATGACGCCCTCTGCAGCTCTAGCTATACTTTCTCTTCCTTTTGACGATGAGAGTTAAACAGGGTTTAAAACGACCGCCTTGGCATTTCCGGTGTTAAACACAGTGTGAACGTATCTGTGTGGACGGGAATGTTAATCTGGTAAAAAGAAAAGATGAAGAGTCCACGCTGTGATTAGTAAATGGGGTAAGCCCGAACACGTTATTGAGACAGGGATGTTTCTGGACTGGAACCTGTGGTATACGCTTGGGGAAACCTGAGTGATGAAACGTGTCACATTGTCGTTGCTGTTGCTGAATCATGCAGAGTTTTGTTTACCAAATGGCTCAACTATCGGACCGATTGTGCTTACGTGCTTAAACAAAGGCCCATTTTGAGTCCGGAGACGTCTTGAATGACTATTTGAATATTCAAAAATCATGACCATCCCTACAAGCAAAATAAATATGTTTTCTGTCTCTTGCACGCTCTACTCAGGTGCCACCCTTGCTTTAACCAAATTGAGTATTTCCAGTAGTGAAAACACATCTGGATCAGACTGTTTCCTGATACATGTGAGCAAAGTACAGCTTTGGAAAATGTCCTGACATTTTAGCTCAGTTAGCTTCATGTGCTTTCATTGTCTTTTTGAACTGCTCCACGAACTTCCCAAAACAGTAACAGTAAACTGAACACGACCCTGGAGGCATGCCCCCGGGAGCTGGTGAATGGATGTATTAAGCAATAGAAACCTGTAGGACTTGAGCGTATGTGTAGTCCTTGACTTCTTTGGTGAACTTTGGTTTACCAGTAACAAACATGTGCTGTACTTTAGTCCAGCTTGCCCACCTGTCGCCGCTCTGTGCCTCGAGCCATATTAAGTTTTATAACAAGTCATCAGCCCAGCTCCACTGCTTCTTCCTCTTCTTTCTTCCTCACAATGTGTCCTATGTGTCTGACTTGCCCCGCCTGGGTACCATGGATGCAACCATGCCTCTGTACACAAATCACACTGATATCACATGCTGCTGCTGCTGCTGCTGTTAGGCAGCAACTTAAAGCAATTGTTTTTATGCACATGACCTCGGTTATTTATTCTAATCAAACATCAGGGACGACTTTGAAATAAAAGCCCGTCTCTGATGCTGGACAGTGGCCTCCTGCAGCTAAGATAAATATGGCATATGGTTACTATTTAAGGAAACAAAGTCATGAGAACCGAACCAAGTAAACCACAGTTCATGCTTTGGTCACATATCTTCTGACCGTCACATCTGGACATTTCCATCCAATTTTGTGAAGCAAAAATCATAAACAAGTTGACATAAACACAACGCACGAGGCGCACATGTGCCAGAAACTGCAGTTCCTCTGACGTCGCATTTCGGCAGCTCCAAATGTCCATCAGTCTTCATAGAGTCGCATGTTAAAATGTTCAACTTTAACAAGGAAACGAACGTGTTTACAGCCTGATACAAGTTTGGGTATTTCCCAGTCAATGACAGGTTACTGTGGGCGAAGTTTTATAAAGTTTGACAGGAACCATGTTTGAGCTCATCGTGTCTTTTGGGGCTTTTCAAACAAGTTACTGAACCAATAATATAAGTGAGTGAATTTGTAGACGATTATTAGCTGGCGCTAATTAGCAGATGTCTTTGTCTGTGTTGCACAGTTGCCCAAATATGGTCACTTCTGGGTGCAACAATCCAACATGACAGTGCAAACACCGAGGTTTCAGTGACGTTACAGTGCCTGCATCATTCTACTTCATGCTTTCTGAAGTAAACATGCACACAGGCTTCTTACCCCCAAAAATGTGAGACAGTCAGTGGACCTGCACTTTTTTGAGCTGACTCAAAGCTCTTTACACCACAAACCACCGTCCTTCATTTACACAGGACTTTATTCTTTAGAAAAAACTACTGTGTGCGAGTTTTATCTATCTGTAATCTACATGATTGCAGATAGATGACCTAACATGCACGACTTCAGATTGAAGAGGAAACCTGAGCACCCGGAGAAAACCAGCCAGGCGTAGAGAAAAACATGCTCGCTGCTTTGACCTTTAATTTTATTTTGTAAAAAACTAAGTGCAACCAATGACAAAGCACAACAACGATTATCTCTGAGTCTGGTCTCAGGTAGAGATCAGATCTTTTCCTGAGTGAGCCTAAATTTTATTTCTCCAACCAGTCACCAGTTAAAATGAAAGTAATCAGTTGGTTGTAACAGTAGAAAAAAAACAGGCTGCTTCCTCTTTCTGCAGGCGCCACAGTTTCCTCTGTGGTAGTACTTGAGCAACACTAGCGTTTTGTCTTCATACCACCCACACACTTTCAGACCCATCGCAGGTTTGACTTTTCAATGAACAGCATGCTATTAAAGTTCGCGCAGATTGTCGCTGCTTGTTGCCTGAATGTAAAAGACATTGTTATAACGTGGCAGCTGCAGCTCTGAGAACACAACTTCAAAAAGTAAAGGACGCATAAAAACAGAAGTTGTAGCAACGCTTGATCCACAGTCTCGGTGTTTTGGACAGGAAGCAGTGACAGCCTGGCGATTACAAAAGACGTCAACTGTCATCTCAAAAGTGAGTCTTGGTTTGGGGGACTGGAGGGCAACTGTTTTTCATTCTCAGTTTATTCTGCAACAGTTTCCAAAACCTTCCATATAACATGGTTACAAAGTTCACAACTCCAACAAAATATACAACAATCATGAGGTTCATGCACAACAACCTGACCACTACCATGTGCATGTGGATAAAGTGGGGTTTGGGCAAGTAGATGAACCCTAAAATCCTAATTATTGACATCGGCATGAACGTGTGGCGGAGATGGGAGGGTCATCTCAAATCATCGAGAGCCTTCTGCTTATAAAAGTTGCAGGTCGATCGACGGGCTCCATGGAGCTCATATAACTTTTATTTGATAACTGGTCTAAATTTAAACTAGTCTAGTTCCTGTAGGAGGGAAATGTTTTCTACACAAATGGAAATGTATGAAAATGAAGAGCAACGACAGCAAACACTTCAGTGTTACGCTCGGCATGAAAGTTCTGCCAGACACATCTTATCTGTAGCTATTTTTATTTAATTTAATAACTGTACAGTACTCTCTGTTTACAGTGACCATTGTCCTTAATGTAAATATGTAAGAAAATTGTGTATGTTTCTGTTCTGTGTCCTGTTTGTTTGTATATGTGTCTTTCTGGCTGCTGTTACAACCAAATTTCCCCGTTGTGGGACAATTAAAGGATTATTCTATTCTATTCTATTCTATTCTATTCTATTCTACATTAATCAGCATTAAGCAATTTCCCAACCGTCCGGTTAAAAACTGTGAGACAAAGTCACAGTTATTGCTACAAATGAGGTTAATGCAAGCACAATGTCATGGATCATATCCAAAGTGGTTGGAAGTGAGATGTTGGAGTGTGAAGGGTCACTGTTGACCTTGGAAAGAGTCGTTTCCCTCTCACAATAAACTTCTTCCTCAGCATATCCACTCCGATCAGTTCTCACAGCAGAGATATCTCACATTTAAAAACTAAAACTTAGCCTTAATACTGTTAAAGTTTGTTATTCACATGCAACAACTCATTTATTCAATCATTTGTGATTTATGGAGGTTTATGTGTTGCAACTAATTGTTGATGAGCAACAGTTTTGTGATGACAGGACAGTGTGCCATCCTTTTTCTGCCGTTTTGTACGCAACCTGAGGTCTGCTGGTGATAATATCAGCCCTGTGGATGAATGAGAGTCTATTTCTGTACAGAATTAGGAAGCTGCCACCACCGCTGCTGCTGTATACAGAGGAAATGAAAAATCAACACTGATCGTATTCCCTCAGTGAAATGTCATGTTTAATACTGAGGATGAGTAGCTCATGTTTCACTGCAGCCGTGTGTCTGACAGTGTGTTCTCTACTTTATTTGCTTTCTTAAAGAGTTTTGAGCCTCGGGGCCACCATACCAGAGTGCAAAGACACGGAGAGAGACACTAGAAAGCATAACATCTTCTGAAACAATGAGGGGATTGAATTCAGGCTTTAGATGAGCCACAAAACTGAGAAACACACAGAGCCGTGCTGTGCAGCAATTCATAAATTAATATCTAAAACTGGACGTCTTTTAGGGGTTTTTCCCCAGTAAAGCGGAGTCATCTGCTTCTCACTAAAGACTTTTTAAGATATAACTCCCACACAATTCTTTAACAAACAGCCCGGTGCAGACACAGTTAGGTCTCTGTGGACAGTTTTCATAATGACTGCAGCAGGAGACTTTTTTATGACCCTGGAGCTATACTGGGAGGGCTTTAGGGTAGGGGCGTGGCCTCTGACACGGTCCGTAGCTGCTGATTAAATGTTGATGTTAACGACTGAAAAGTCCACACCCGATAAGTGACTTAACGATGGCTACGTCCATCTTTTAAATACAGTCAATGAGGGATTGTGTCACGCCAAGTGGGCGTTGGTGGAACTGCAGTTTGTGTCCAGAGTTTCAGCCCAGTTACTGCTCGTTTCCCCACAGATGAAACTTTATTTATAAATCAATAATTTGCATCCTTCGGAGGACGAGGACACGCCGGTAATCATGATAACAGTGAAAAATCTAAATCAAAGAATGACATGATGTTAAAAACATCGTAAATAATCCACCTGCACAGCTACAGATTCTTCCCTTTCAGTTCTTAATATATTATTGCACAATTACCCACTTAAATAATTTCTTGTGTTTTGCATGATCACAGACTGTGTTTTCCATGGTAATAGTTCCTTTATCTCCTCTATTTCTTAATTCGATGTTTTTTTGTGCAAGTCTAATCATGTCGAGTTTGAGGTACCAGCGGTGATGACTGAGGGGGTATTCAAAGGGCGCCATGGATACGATGTGTTTCAAAGGCGTCCACGTCAAATGAGATAAAGGTGCTGCTCTGAGAGAGAGAGCGACTGGAGAGAGAGCGGCGTTAGCTCACCTATGGTTTGTCGAAGCTCCTCGCACAAACTTATGTGTGGGAACTGCAGCATCTGCTTCCACTTCTTGCTCTTTCCTTTTCTGTTCCCGCCCCCTCCTGTGAATGACATACACATTTTTTATTGTATTTTGGGTTTGAAGGAGAAGAAACATTCAAAAGTAAATCAGCAGGATGTCGTCATACGGTTGATACTGAGAACCCGACTGAGGTTTTTTAAGACTTAAATATGCGTCGAGTGCATATTATAAAACAGCACAGCGTCGAGCCCTGACGAGCCGCGCCCTGATGCTTCTGAACAAGTAAAGTAAGAAACTCAAATTCTGGTTTCCAGGTTGGATTTTGAGACCATTTCTGAGGCGGTGGAGAAAAAAATCATTTCAGAGAGCCGATCAACCCGATCGATGCAGTGATCTGATTGGTCAGATCTGCTTATTCAGATCCAAAAAATCTAACTTGGTTTGAAAACATAAAAGTTGCAAATTCGCCCAGTGAAATCACATGATCAGTGTGAAAAGCTGCACTGAAAAATCAGACATGCAGATATTTTCTGAGCGCTGGATGTTTTTCCTGTGCTTAAACAACAAGTAAATTCATTGCAGGGACAGTCTGCGTTAGCCTGACTGCTCACCACAGATCACATTTAAACGATGGTCTGTTTGTGTGTTAGAAACCAGGAAACTCGTTGGTTCGATGAAGTCGGGTTTTTTTCTATCTTAGGACTGAGAGCGTCCAGCAGTCATTTGGGAAAAACGTTATTCTCCAACTGGTTGTCAAGTAGTTTCTGGAGGTTGCCAGCTTAAAAGCTTCCCTGCGACTGCTTTAGTCACTCATAGTTTGCACGAAACACACCAACCTATCTGCCAACATATAACCTGGAAACAGAGAGCGTTTCCCTTCCAAGTAAAAGTTACGTCTTACTGTTGCAACCAACACGTTTCAAAAGGTACAGCTTTTACTTTGAAGGGACACTATATTTGTAGAGTAGTTTGAGTGTTTGCAAGTCGACGTCTTCCATACTGGTGGACGAAGCAAACGCCAGGAAACTCCATTTTGGATTTTTATTCTAAGGGAACACACGCCAATACGCCAATCACAAGGTAACATTATTTTACTCCGATGGTGGTTCACACTAAGAAGACCAGACCAGACTATAATACAATAGAAGCTGCAGCAGGTGATGTCTGTGTGGTTTTAAAGCTTTGTTGTTGCTGTGATGAGATTCTTTTGATGGCCATGATGTAATTCCACATAAGTAGTCCTCCTGTTGGTGGTCATGGCTGAATATTCTTGGGTTCCCAAAATCACTGTTCTTCATGTTTCATCTGAAAACGCCACCATAACAACCACAGTTTACAAAGTAAACATCACGTGGTAAACACAACTTGCGACCATGAGCTCCACGAAGGTCGTAAACTGAGTACGAAGCAGGGTCGCTTTCTCATAGACGTCTATTCAATCAGATCTGTTTGAAACCAGAAGAGTCGCCCCCTGCTGGAAGTTGGTTAGATCGGTCCAAACGTGAGAACAGAAGAGAGAAAAGCAGCATGTTGTGGTTTTAGTAGGAAGCGCAGGCTCGATCTGTGGGGGTGATGTGACCAGAGGTGCTGATCTGAGCAGATGTGGCTCCCATGCGCTTTAAACAAACAGCAGGAAACCCAACACTCATACCCACAATCACTAATTTTGCAGCTTCACCCTCTATCTCTAATTTTGAGGGTTTGAGGCTTACACATGTTCAGTAACACCTCTGCTGTTGTCGGTCGTAGGTGGCAGGCAAGGCCAAAGGGCTCGTTACAACAAATGATCCCCAGCGATGAGCCGGCTCCTCACCAATCCAGCTGTGCACACACGAGCTGCAATGCACAAAGGAAAATGAAACCGAGAGCCGGACAAATGTCTGCCTGTTTTTCCCTCCTTCCTCCAGAGTTGTATTCAAACAAGACGAAACCAGTGAGTGAAATCTGATTAAATTTGGTCCTTTGAATTTACTCAGAAGTGATATCGCTCTCTAAAAGAGGATCTTTGTAAAGCTGTGACCTGCTGGTCTGCATCTGAGGATTGTTTGTTTTAGGGTTTCTGGGATGTTTTGAAGGACAGTCTGAATAATCACAGACACTGAGAAAAACAGAGGGAAGTAGTTTCTAAATCAATAATCAATTTAGCAACCAGGTCCTGGAAGTCTGTTTAAAGCTTTTGAACATGAAGCATTTTTCTCTGTGGACAAAAGCAGACTGTCTCTGCACCCAAGCCTGAACCACTCCTGAATCCTCTTTGTTTATCTCAGTTAAGAGCACATGCTGTGGTCAGAGGAGGGATCTTTTATTCGAGGCTCCGTGTTTGAAATGCGATGAGGTTAAAAGTCATGGCAACCCTGCAGCCGATGAACCGTTTTCATAGAAGCCGTCGAGCAGGGTGAAGACAAAGAGCTGCAGAACAAAGAGAAACCAGAGGAAGTTCCTGTCCTCTCTGTGTTTGGGCGGTTTCTCAGAGCCAGGCGGCACTTTCGTTTCTGATAGAGCTTCATTCAAGACGCAGCAATAAGCAGGACCAGCGCACTCTGTGAGCTCATGTCTGAGCCTCGAACGCCAACCATCCTCCCTTTGCAACTTTAGGAAAGAGATCGGATCCTGTCACCATGCTCCGTATATATCTGCTCCAGAGTTTCTTAACATTTAATCTGATGACAAACATCCATTTTTAGAGATATTGGATCATCGCGCTACAAAAACAAGAATAAAGTCTTTTAAGAATCTGCATTTAATATTGATGCTCATCAGTAAAAGTCGGGCAATCAGACGATCTCTAAAAGTGGAGCAAAGCAGTGATGGAGAAATGTTTTGGTAGCATCGACTGCAGTTTCTCTAACAGCCAGTTCACAAAAAGTGACTCGTTCCTCATTGACTCCCATGTTAAAAAAAATCCCACTTTACAGAAGAAATCAACCAGCTAAGAATAAACACATTGGGACAGTTTCTCCCTTTAACTCAGCTTCAGTGTGGTGGGTAAATTTGTTTATAACTGAGCCATCTCGATCCTTCCGAGGCTTAAAGTTGGGTAATATTGGATTGTAGCTCTAGTAGAAGTGGATTGGGCTTGTTCCCATCATGCATTTGGGAGCATTTTTAGTGGAATATCTGATAAGTAATATATTCTCTTTTGCTTCCAAAAACCCAACAGGACAGCTGCAATAAATCTAATCAAACTGCAGGTTCATAAATGGACATCAGTGTCTGTGGTCTCATCATCGTGTTGCTATTTTCTGGCCCTTTGCTACAAAAAACTGGGACAGAAAGTCCGATTTAAAGAATAAAAAATAAAGGAGAGCGAGTCCCCCCATCTGCTGTCTGTAAACACCCTCTTACGTGAAATATCGTGAACCTGCACCATCCAGGCTTTCACTGATAACACGGCGTTGTTGTAAATACAGCAGCAGCCTTGAGGCGTCCAGCCTTCAGGTCCAGCCTGATCCTGAAGGAAGGCAGTCCACGCTTCAGGATTTGCTATTCAAATACTTCCAGGCAGCTGCTTTGAAAATCAATTACTGTCATAGAGACACTGCAAACAAGATGGTGTGTTTGTGCCTGAAAAATGGGCGATGATATCAGAATTACAGATAAGCTGACTGATGCCCCGCGCTCGCTGTGTGCATTAGTGAAAATGTAAATCAAGACAAACAGCATGAGTACACGGATGGGAAGCCAATGAAAGACGGACTGAGCGATACACCGATGTAATTAAGATGAAAGCAGCCCAATTCATCCCGCACTCTCAAAGTCATTAGGCAGTTCAAAGGTTACACTTGAAGGCCAAACATGACCCTGGAGGCCATTATGAGGCTGGCTTATGAGCTAAGCAAGGTGAGTTCAGGTTTAACCATGCTCTGAAGCAAGTCCAGGAAGGAAACCACTGCCTGCTGACCAATCAGCTGACCAATCAGCAGGCAGTGGAACACCTTAAACTCTGTATTTCCATTCATGAAGACGTCTGCTGATTTCAGGCCTTCACAATGACTTTGACTTGGTTCGGTGTTGGGTGGTGTTTTTCTGAACCATGGAAATAATTCTGTGATCATCCACTTTAGGTGTTGCTACGCTGGTCAGTGCATCCATGCTTTCAAAGAATGAACAAGATTGTTGATTTGACTGGTCTCTGAATCATTTCTAGATCTTTTATCAGTTTCCTGTCCGATTACTTTTAAGTCTCTGGAAATGGGACACTGTCTTTAAAAAAGACTGTAAGTTCTGATGTTGCAAAAACACTCTGCAACAAAGCTGAAGGTCTGCACGTCTTTGCATCTTGATTATCTGACCTAAAATCCACTGTGGTGGTGTATGCATTGTGTATAATTTGTGAAGCAAGGCACCACAACCAGGAAGCTCCTCTTTGCAATAAAATGTTAACATCGAAGGCCCCGGTAGGACCATCTCAGGACACTGTAGGTAGAGAACACAGACGCAGACTGACTGTGTCTTCTGCAGAGGCCACACATTCTGATTCAATACAGATTTATCAAATCAGTTTATCAGCTAGGTCCAGAAATGCTTCTTTCAATGATGTTTTTCTGTATGTCAGGGCACCGGATTAAAATGCTGAACAGGTCATTACAACTTTGGTGGTTCAACCAACATGTAAACCGAGGCAAGTGCTTACATCGAGTGGACAGAAAACCGGCCTCAAACATGCTGATTCGCAGCTTTTTCAGCAAAGCAAACTAAAAGTTGTTTTTTATTTGTCTCTGCGACTTCGTTCCGCTTACATGTTTATTTTTAAAAGGCGTTATTTTAAGGTGTTTGTGCTTCGCTTTAAAGCTCACGATTTCCCAGATTTTAATTGCTGTAAACAGCAGTGAGAGAGGAAGTGACATCAGGGACCGAAATCACATAGGATAAGGTGAGAACTGGAACGCAAAAAAAGAGAGGAGGAGGTGACAATCAAGTCAGGTTCAGATGCGGCTTTTCATGGTATTTCCTGTGAGAAGGCCTGTTTCCTTTGTGCTGTGCATTCAGACTGTGGTTTCCTACATTAAAGGAGGATATTTGTGTTTATATACCAGCTAACATTACTATAGGTGTAATATGGCAGTATTAGAGTGTGCA